TCCAGTGATGACCTGGACTCTTCTTTTAGCCCTTTCTAGGTTTTACTAGAAATAAAGTATAAAATGTTATAAATAAATAAGTAAAAAATCTGGTGCTGAAATGCCCACTGTTTAATGGGCTGTAATTGCGATATAGTCACAAATGGTAACTATACAGAATTTGCATTGATCCCAATAATTCAGTGTTGTCTTACAACAGATACATTTAGCAAAGAACATCTACAGTGACAAGCTGAGCTGGACTTATTTTTTTTTTTTTTAAACAATATGAAGGATTTTCAAAAATCTGAGAAAGAAAACAAGAAACCATTACTATGGTCTCTATACGACAAACAAAAATCCAAAATGATTCATCTATGCCAGAAAATGGCCAGACCCAACTCTTGATGGCCAGACCCAGCTCTTGATACCAGATAATGGCCAGACCCAGCTGTTGATGGCCAACAGCTTCCAATAGCAAGCTTGGTGAAGGTTATGAAAGTTCTAAAGCTTTCCTTTGCTGGTCTCTTTGAATGGCTGGGTTGGACATTACTGCTGCTATCTAATATTTCTGGTGCTGCTTCTCAACTCAGTGTTTTTCAAACAATGGCTTTCTGAAGGAGAGAGGACCCTTTGGTCTCCAGTCCATTGCTACCTCCTATGTCTAGTTGGACTTGAAACGATATTGGTGTGTTTGAAATTACATTCACTTTGTTAATGAGTGATTGCACCAAACTTCTCAATTCTGAGACCAATCCTGAAACGTATGTTCCATGTCTTAATCTCCGAAGCTTTGTTTGATCCTATGTAAATAATAATTAATTAATATGTTGATGATATTCTGAATTACCTCACTCGTGTCAAGTAAGCTGGGCTTTTACAAATATTGCGTATGGTTATTTTTATAAAACTAGATTAAATTTCTACACTCCCACAGAATAAGCAGTTCAGTAAAATGGGAACCTGTTAAACCAATTTAGGTATCTCACACCACACCAGCACTTTATAACGTCACCAATTCTTGCTTTGTGAGATATGGTAATCACACTCGGGAGACATACGATAAGTCTCTGAAATGGGGCGGAATACATTTAATAAAATCAAGCTCCGAATAGTCGTGATTTTTAAGTCAGAAATTAAAGTCCAATGCCTTGTATTTCACCCGGAAAGTTTTGAGAGCTTGTCTTCACATTGGGATCTAATACAGTTAAACTTAATTTGAAGGAAACTGCAAAACCTCAGACTGAAAAGTGTGACTTTTAGGATTTTTTTCCTCAAAAAATTTGTGTAATATTTTTGTCATTTTCTTAATATGATATCTTGGTGCTTCTTTTTCCTTAAATCTTTTTGTATTCTTAAAATATGTCTGTTCTTAAAATTCAATGATTTAAAAATCAAACCTTTTGACGTTGTTGATCTCAACCAAAAATAAATTGAAAGTATGTATTTAAATATGGCGTCTCGTTAAAATTATGATCTGTACTCTTCCTAATGATTACAGTGACTAATGACTTTTTCTGTAGATCTATTACTTTCTATCATACCAGTCTACCCATCACACCCCAAAATTATACTCCCTGCCCCCTGTGTAGGTCTCTCTAGGCGTTTGTGTGCGTTTTGGTTTGCTTTTTATGTTTTTGAAGAAAATCCTTGTTTATAACCTAGTTATCACTAGATACAAAAAATGTGTGTGTGTATATGTATATGTGTGTGTGTGTGTATGTGTATATATATATATATATATATATATATATATATTGTGATAAAGTGAAGGCAGATAGGCCTTTTAACCCCAGGGGAAGAAAGTGTAGTTTGTGTGTTGCACAACACAAAACACTGTTTAGATATGGGCCCCTGGGGTGGAGCATTTGGAGAGAAGGGTGGGCCAATGCTCCACTCCACAGTTTAGTGGTTTTCTGGGGAGACATGGATCCAGGCCAGGGTTTTTTGGATCGTCTCCAACCCACTGCTCAGCTGCAGTTAATGAGCTATTGCAGTGGAAATAAACTCCTCCCTGCTAGGCAGGTGGAGGAGAGGGATTGCTGGCTTCCTCCCAGGAAGCAGGTAGGAGAGAGAGGCTGTTCTCTCCATATAGTCAAGGAGACTAGGCACTTGGAGTGCAGAAAGGAAGCAGTCAGGGCAAGACTGGCTTGGAGCACTTGGAGTGCAGAAAGGAAGCAGTCAGGGCAAGACTGGCTTGGAGCACTGGGAGTGCAGAAAGGAAGCAGTCAGGGCAAGGCTGGCTTGGAGCACTGGGAGTGCAGAAAGGAAAGCAACAGGTTAGATAGCAGAGCATTGCTCTCTAATAAGGTTGGTGCAATATTGTGTTTAGTTTAACCCTGAGAGATAGGGAACTAAAGTCAGTTAGTGCTCAGACGAGCTAGGTGTTTGTTTATAGGGTTTTGTGTTACTTTTGATTTTCATTTACTGCTGTATCCTGTGTGAACTTACAAATAAAGTGCCTGGAGTATGTGCAACTACAAGGACTGTGCATGTTTTTGCCCTAGAGGACCGTGCTACCTGGTGACAAGGATCACAATATTTTTTTTTTTTTGTATTGTTGAGATGGTAATATTCACTATGGGTACACTCTACTGGTATGTGCTGTGCACACCTATGCTGTTTCAGGTGATTTATTTATTATTTATTTTAAAGTAAAAAAACAAACTAAAACAAAACACTCTAAAGCTGGATGCAAGAGAATAGTGAGAATAGACAATTGTAATAAAGATGTATATGTTAAGGGAGATTGGAATAAGTGTTTTCATGTATATATCTTCTTGTATAAATGGCTCGCCGTAAGACACTTCTATTTTATCCAAAAATATTAATACGCTACCTGACATTCTTTATAAAGAAAAAAATATATAAATTTATTCTACACACAATACAAACCACAACACCTACGTAAGTACATAACAGATTGTACATCTGAAATATTTTACAGAGAGAGATCGTCGAGGGAGAGTAACCGTCTTTGTCCAGAAAGTCTGGGGAACAAAAGAAGTGTTGTAGAATGTGGACCTTTTGTATACTGTTCTTTTATAGCCATGACTATAATGATATCAGAACTTGTAGGTAAAACTCTGGCCATATAAGGACATATGAAAACCCTCAAACCTCTCATTCTACACCCACATTGCAGAATTCTCATGGTACAGCATATTACCAGCTGTTCTTTTTAACCCATTAGATGTCCATACAGTGCTGTGAGTATCCCAAGGCACTATCCAGGTGGAGGAAAAACAAAATGCCTCCAAACGCCTGCTCGGACGTCCTCTGGTGTTCCCTGCGGTGCTCTCTCCAGTTATAGGGGAATCCAAGAGCTGGCCGCCTTATGGACCCTAAGGCGGGCAGCTGTGTTCAAATCAGTGGCGGCGAGGGAGCTATGATCTACCTGCTCTGCGCCCTTGCTGATGCAGTGGGAGACAGAATTTGGCGTCATTCCGGCTCCTGGCATCAGTAGATGGCCCGCAAAGGAGCTCACAGCTCCCTCACAGCCTCTGATGCTAACACAGCCGCCCGCCTCACAGCTGCCCCACTGGACCCTAGGGACAGATCCACACCAGCTCTCCAAAAGGTAGGGAGGCTGGGTGGAAAAATTAAAATAATTTATGTAGCTGTGAGTGTCTGTCAAATCAGTGAGAGTCTGTGTTTGTCATTGTGTGTGTGACTGTCAATGTGTCTACCAGTGTGTATCTGAGAGTGTGTTCGTGTCAGTGTGTGTATGTCAGTGTATGTGTGTTGGTTAAACAGTGTGACAATGACGGTCAGTCGTTGTATGTGTCTCAGTGAGGGCATGTTGTCTGTCAGTGAAAGTGTGTTGGCTGGAGAGTGTTTGCGCTAATAAGTGAGTGTATGAGTCAGTGAGCGTGTGTGTGTGTGTGTGTGCTTAAAAGGATTAGGTACGAAGAGGTGGAGTTTTAAGAGGAAGTGGTGGGTTTTAATCGGGAAGAGGTGCATCCTTGACAGGAAGGGGTGGGGTAAATTTAGACTAGGGGGGTGCCCAGGTTTACTCATGCCTAGGGCAGCACAAAACCAAAATACACCACTGCATCCATACCTAATATGAATAGGAACAAAGATTATGTAATATTTAAAAATAACTCATACTGCTTGTCCTTCAGTGGATCCCTGCTCTGGTGCCAAGCTAGTTCTAGCACAGGATTCTCCTGGACACCTGGCAAAGGGGTGCCTTATTGATGCCCATGGATTGGATCCTGATCTGTGGGGGGACACATTGTAGCTTGGGTGAAGGGAGGGGACTTACCGGTCGGCAGGAGCAGTTGAGGTATTCTAGCTGATTATTCCGGCCCTCCCACCCTAGACATGTTGGTTTGTTGTTTGTCACAGCTCGCGGGATTCCTGGCCAGCGCAGTCGAAGTAAAGATTTTGGGAGACTGCTGTTAGCAGAGGGCAATGCTCCTCAACCCTCTCCTCAAGGCATACCTAACAGTCCAGTATTTAGGGATTACCCGTGTGTGTCTAAGGTGTTTAGAAACAGGAAGAAAAAAAATACCTAATAGTGTAAGGTGTTTTTTGGCTTTTTTTTTTAAGCACCTTAGACACTGCCTGAGGGCTTATGGAAATAAGGTGAAAGGAACTGTCTGCTGTGTGAGCGTGATTTTGTGCTTCACATGCTTTTATTTAATGTAGCAGACCATAGGAATCGGTAGTTTTAGGAGATTTTACCTGGGTTATTTTATAGATAGGTTTATTTGTTAGCAGGTTTATACAATCCAGCGGTGATATTATGAAATCACATGAAAGTATGACCAGGAGGGTCTGTAAGCAGTTCCAACACTTGCTATTCAGATTTTGTTTGTAAATTCGTTTTATTTGTGGTATCAAAGTCAAGAAAAATCAGACTCGCAGGTCTCAGGAGGCACATCATAATCAACAACAATACTAGCACCATTTGTTGGTGTAGTTAGCATGACATGTGGGAACATTCTCGGGCTCGCAGGCCCACAATATTGCCGGACTCGCAGGTCCCTGGTAATTTCTAGTGTCACAGCTATGTTTTTTGAGTGCACCAGTTGTTGCTGTGTACCCAGGTGTTAGTCTGATCGTGGGCGTTAGGGTGGGGAGCTGTCCGGGCTTCGTTCAGTCCCGCTAGTGCTGTTTACGTGTCGGAATTATTCAGTTATTGTTTGTGGCTCGTCTGGGTATAGTAGGATTAGTATGTATTGACCTGAGTTTTCTTTTTGTCGCGAGTCTGTGGTTCTGTCATCAGATGTCTTGTCTGTTCCTTCTGCGTATCTGAACGGTTGTGGCATGTCTCCTCACTATTTATCTCCTTCCCCTGTCCTATGACGTCATTGTGCGTGGGTTTTTTAACTTTCATTTTATCGTTTCGTATTAGTCGTGTGTCTAGGTGTTGACATGGGTGTAAAGGGTTGCGTTGTCATGTTTCTAGCGTTTAATGTGTTTGTTGTTGCGTCCGTGGTAGCTCAGCATGCGTTGCTTGTGTGTATAGCTGTTTTGTGTGCTCCTTGTCTGCGATGTTCGTTATGTGTCCTTTCTATTCTACTCGTGTGTGATATCTGCAACTGGTGTGAGTGTCTCCTTTGTCGTCTCCGTTTTTGCATATTATGTGTGTGTGAAGGCTTTCCCTGTATGAGGATAAGGAGGGAAGTTGGGTGGGGGCGGGGAGGAGGGTAGGGGATGTGGAGAGGTGTCTGCCTCATTCCTAGCCGCGTCTGGGCCCGCCCCGGCGCCTCCAGCTGGGTGTGTCGTTTCTGCGTCATGTGTTAAGAAATGTACAGTATCCATGGTGTCCACAGCTCTGTATGTTTTTCCTCCTTGCCTATTGTTTCAGCTATTTTGGCTTCTGCCCTTCTTATGTCTTCGACTTTAGTCTTCCATTGTTCCAGTGTGGGTATATGTTCGTTCCTCCAGTGTAGTGGGATTAGGGATTTCGCCGCGTTTAGTAGGTGTCGCAGAATTGATTTTTTATAAGAGGGTATGGGTCTATCCGTGTGGTGTATGAGAGCGGCTCCCATTGTAAGGTCCACAGGGTCTCCTAGGATGCGTTCTATTTCTTGCTTAATATTCCCCCAGTACGGTTTAATTTTTTCGCAGTCCCACCAGATGTGCTTCAGTGAACCGGGGCTGTCTCCACATCTCCAGCAGATGTTCGGGTTCTTTGGTGCGAATCTGTTTATCAGAGAGGGGGTGCGATACCAGTGTGTAAGGAGCTTGTAGTTCACCTCCTGGTAATGGGAGCTAATGGAACTTTTGTGCTGTAGGATTAAGATCTTTTCCCACTGGTTATCCGCAAAAGACTCCCCCGTCCATTCCTCCCACTGCCGTTTGTATAGGGTGTTTTCTGTTCTATGTCCTGTCAGTATGCTTTGATATATCATGGAGACCTTTCCTGTAGTTGCCGTTGTCTGAGTGCATAGGTTCTCGAACCACGTGAGGTCTCTGTGGATTTTGCTTCTATGAGGTAGATTATGGTAGTAGTGGGTTAGTTGGGCGTAACGGAATTGGTGCAGTAGTGTGTGTGGTCTCTCTTCCAATATGTCCCGTAGTGGTTTCACTCCCGTGTTGCTTAAAGTTGAGTAGATAGGTATGTATCCATCTTGGTGTTCCATCGGCCAAGCCGTTGGCGGGAGGCTATCTCCCAGGTCAGGGTTGTATGTGATCGGTATCAGCGGGCTGGGTTTGGGTGAGATCTGCTGTCCTTTCCTCAGTTCGTTCCAGTGTCTCAGGGTGTGTGTAAGTGGGGAGTCTTCTCCCAGTATTATGTGCGCGTCTGCTTCTCTGTGCCAAATCAGTGTGTGTAGTCTTTTCTCGGTGGATTCCCTCCAGAGCGTTACCCACCTTCTGTCGGGTGTATCCGTGTGGAGTTCCTTGAGCCTCTGCAGCACTGTGGCCTGGTGGTATTTTCTGACGTCGGGAAGAGCTAGCCCTCCCCAGCTTCTTGGTAAGCAGAGCTTGTCAAAGCTAATGCGGGCCTTCTCTCCTCTCCAAATATATTGTGTGATTGCTGTTTTGAGTGTCTTGAAAAATGTCTGTGGAATCGCCTGTGGGGCTGTGTGAAATATGTAGAGTAGCCTCGGTAAAACATTCATTTTTATCACTGCGATTCTCCCGAGCCAAGATATGTGGGGGTAGTGCCATCTTTTAAGGTCTTCGAGTATGGTCCTCAGGAGGGGTATGTGGTTTTGGGCGTAGATGTCTTTAGCCTCGCGTGTTACCCATAGCCCTAGATATTTCATTCGGCTTGGGCACCAGTGGAAAGGGTATTGCTGTGTAAACTGAGCGCATTCTTCCTCCGGGACGGTGACATTTAAGATTTCGCATTTCGTCAGGTTCAATTTGAGTCCGGATAAACGTCCGTATTTTTCGAATTCCGACATTAGCTGGGCAGCGGAGGTAAGCGGGTTCTCGAGGAAAAATAGCATGTCGTCGGCGTATGCGGCCACTTTGTGTTCATGCGTTCCGTGTCTGAAGCCCAGTATTCCCTCATTTTTCCTAATGCTGTCTAGAAGCGGCTCTAGCGTGAGGGCGAATAGTAGGGGTGATAGTGGACAGCCCTGCCTCGTGCCATTCTTGATGTGGAAGTCATCCGTGAGTGCCCCATTTACTCGAATCCTAGCAGTTGGTTGGTTGTATAGTGCCGTGATCCATGTGAGCATGCCGTTTCCAAGACCTGTCGCACGTAGTGTTTCCGTCATGAAGTGCCAATCCACTCTGTCGAATGCTTTTTCAGCATCCGTCGACAGTAGTAGTAGCTTCGTTCCCATTTTCTTTGATAGATGTTGTATAGCGAAAAGCCTTAGGGTGTTATCCCTGGCCTCTCGGCCAGGTATGAAGCCCGTCTGGTCTGGGTGTATTAGTCTAGTCATGTGTCTTTGTAGTCTTGTAGTCAGGACCTTTGAGAACAGCTTGACATCAGCGTTGAGGAGTGAGATTGGGCGGTAGTTTCCGACCTGTTCGGTATTCTTGCCCGGCTTCGGGATTACCGCTATTCTTGCGGTCAGGGTTTCTTTGTGGAAGGCTGTGCCGTCTCTCAGGCTGTTGAGGGCTCTGGTGAGATGTGGTACGAGGGTGTGTCCGAATTTCTTAAGGTATTCCACCGGGAAGCCGTCCGGGCCCGGTGTTTTTCCTGTTTTCGCTTCTTTCAGTGCTAGTCGGATTTCTCCTTCTGTGATCGGAGCTTCCAGTTCCTCAGCCTCTTCCGATGTGAGGGCGTTCGGTTGGAAGTTCCTCAGGTACGCTGTCGTGTCTCTCTGCTTCACGGCCCCTGGGGGGTCTCCTTCGTCTTCGTTTGTATTGTAGAGTTTAGTATAGAACTTTTTAAATTCGTTCGCAATTTCTTCCGGAAATTGTGTGGTACGGTTGTGTGTGGTACGTATGGCTTGTACCTGTGCCCTGCTCTGTGTGCCTCTCAGCATCTGTGCTAGGAGTTTACCTCCTTTGTTGGCGTGTGTGTAGAAGAAGGCGCGCGAACGCTGTATTGTTCTTGTATGTCTGCGTTCTAAGATCTCTGCCAGATGTTTTCTAGTAGCCATCAGGGTCCTGTAGGTCTGTGCTTGTTGGTCCAGTTTGTGCGCCGCTTCCAGGTCTGAGATTTGTCGTGCGAGTTCCCTGGTTTGCTGGCCGGCCTCCCTCTTGCGCTGGGTGGCCATGCGGATAAGGTGGCCTCTGATCACGCTTTTATGAGCTTCCCAGAGCGACATGGGAGTCACGTCTTCTGTGTCGTTCTCCTCAAAATACTGGTTTAGGTGCTCTGCGATCTTTTCCCTCATCTTCGCATCAGTCAACAAGGAATCGTTTAGCCGCCAGGCTGATTTAGTCGGTCTGAACAGGGGTGAAGCCACAGTAACCTGAGCCGCGCTGTGGTCCGACCATGTCGTGGAGAGGATAGCCGCCTTCTGTACGTACGTGAGTCCCTCCTGCTGTACTAGGATATAGTCGATTCTGGAGTATCTGTCGTGGACCGTGGAGTAGTACGTGTAGTCCCTTCCCTCAGGGTTAAACGCTCTCCATGTATCCACCAGCCTCAGATCCCTGAGGGTTTTGTGCACTGTCTTTAGCGTCGCTGTTGGTACACTGCTATGGCCCTTGGAGGTGTCCATCTTAGGATCCAGTGGGACATTAAGATCGCCTCCCAGTACTAGGGCACCCTCCGTGAATCGGGATAACTTCGTCAGTGTTCTCCTGAGGAAGCTTGCTTGGCCGTTGTTGGGTGTATATACCGTGGCAAAGGTATAGACCTTCCTTGCTATCTCGCCCTTGACGAAGAGGAATCTGCCTCCTGCATCCGATAGCGTGTCTATTGGTTTGAATTGTAGGTGTGATGCCAGGAGGATTGCCGTTCCAGCTTTGCGCGCCGTTGGGTGGTTACTATAGTAATTCGTTGGATACGTTTTATCTTTGAGCAGTTTGTTTGTTTCTGGTCTGAGATGCGTTTCTTGGAGCATTGCCACTGACACATGTTGTTGTTTGAGACTGCGTAAGAGGTGTGACCTTCGTTCCGGGATGTTGAGTCCTCTGCAATTTTGGGAGTGCACCACTAAGGGTGACGGCGTGTACGCCTGCTATTCAGATTTTGGAATGCATCTGTGGCTCAATTGTGAGGACAGACTCTCCTGTTGGATGAGCGTCTGACTTGGAGTTGGCGATCCAGTTCATCATACGGGCGATCAGTGGAGTTGCGGTGAGGGTCCTGTCCTGCCCTGCCCAATGCATTTCCTCCACACCAAACTTTAATCGGAAAGTTCCTTTACTAAACTGTTACCACAAAGTCGGACGCAACCAAATGTATAAAACTGGTATTTGGTCTTTATATCTTGTGGCGTTAAATCCTTCAGTAGAACTATGGGGCAATGCCTGAACCCTTTAAAATAGCACGATTATCCCTCCTCCACCAAACGTTACAGTATGGCCCAGGCATTCTGCGAGTTAGAGTGCTTCTGACATTCTGGGAGTTAGAGTGCTTCTGACACACCAAGCTTTAACCCAATGTACTGACAGTTTTTAAAAATTATTATTATTATTATTATTATTATTATTATTATGTCGGTGCTGGATGTTATTATGAATTATTATTATTATTATAATTATTATCATTGTGTCTGGGTGCTGGATGTTATTATTATTAATAATTATTATTATTATTGTGATGAAAGCACCTTTGTCACTGCGATTTGGAGAGGCCTGCTTGCCAGCCTCTTGCCCCCTGGGATGTATTGGCCTTTAAAAGCTTTGTTTGGGCATATTGGATTTTAAAATACTTTCTCTGCCCCTTTAAATCCATGGGAAGATGTGCCTCTTCCCCTCCCCCTTTTTCCTGTCCTATTGTTTCTCCAGCAGGGCATTGTCCCAGGGACACTGCCAGACCAGTTTAAACTGGCTGCTATGTCCCTCCTCAATCTCCCATGAGCCCTTGCTATTTTCTGAACCCTTCCTTGTACTATAGGGCACTTTTAACATCGGACATATTGAGCGCTCAGATCCAAGCTATCTGGGGATTATGTTGGACATATAGGTTAAAGGACCACTCTAGGCACCCA